GGGGTAATCCCCGTTTACCCCCGTTTATCCCCGTCGCCTGTGCACATAGGGAAGTTTGATATTGTTTGCAGTCAGCAAAAGAGATTTCGAAAGCCGTGTAAAAGTATCTAGTATTCGCTGCTTAAATGCCGCGAGGCCGTCCGTCCCTTTTTATAATTAAACTACCAATTATGTCGGCGTTCTATATTAATTTAAGCCAACTAGGGAGGATGAACCTTCCAAAACTTGTAATATGCAGGCATGCAAGATAAAGAAAGGTGCCTTTTGTCAGGTGACCATTGCAAGAAGCTGGGATTTGGCTTCAAATGTTAGATTACTTACCTTGCTGTGGAGAAAATTTCAATGACTTAGTCAGAGAAAGCGCCCAAGAAAGTGCCGAAGTAGCTGATTTTGTGTCCCGGGCGGTAATAAACCAACGAATGGCCCTAAGGGCGGCATATGCCGCATCACAGGCGGAATCGCATGCCTTGTAGGCTTTTGCTGCTTTAAGCCACGAGATAGCAGGGATAAGGGGCTTTACATCGGTCGTCTCCTGATTTATTGCATATCTTTTCCTGATATCTGCCAGTAGTTCAGTAAGCGCAATATGGTACGTTTCATCGGAAGAATATTTTTTAGAAATTTTTGGCTCAATTATATCAATCGCTTTTTTCAGATATGCAACAGCATCAGCTTTCTGCTCCATTTGTTCATATGCGGTCGCGTATTGAATAAATAAATTTTCCATCTCAAAATCGCATGCCAGTTTGTCGTCTGCGTATTCGAGCATATCAGTAACTTTATCTAACAGGCCCAGAGCTGGAACTGGATTAAATTGGGCAAGAAAGCCAGCTGACTTATTCAAAAGATTCTTAATTTCTTTATAGTCCAAGTCTTTTGAAGGACTATGCTCTCCCTGCACGTACATAAAATCGCCGGCCGATTGAAAACAAGCAGCTGCAATATCCGGGTCTGCATTATATATGCAGTAGGCACCGTCACCAGAATTTTTCGAAAAATCGTTTATTGTTTCCATTCGTTTGGGGTGTTTGGAATGTATCTGGAATGAATTAGTTAGTTTGCAAAAACACCATTATAAAAATCCGCCCAAGTCTTATCCATAACATCGCTTATCTAAGGACAGAAGGTTACTCAGTGCCCTCAAGGACGAAAATCAATCAGGCTATGGTGTCAGAAGATCCCATCGGTGATTCGCCAAAGAAGCGGGATGTAGGTAACATATCTAGGGTTCATGAGCAAATTGACAGGTTTAAGAATATGGTGGTGTGTTCTTACGAGTCTTGTGTGGTTGGGCACCAGACAATGTCAAGCATTCGCTCGGTCACAATTGGTGTAACAGGTGGTATAAACATGGCTAATTGTTACCGATAATTAATCGAACAATCCAACCTAAAAAAACTGCAGTATTAAATTTTAAAAAGAAGAGTTATCAGTTAAGAAGCGAGACAATACAAGTCAAATATGTTGGTAGTATAGTTAATTGAAAAATGTACGGATTCAATGAGCACGAACTTACATACTAACAGCATACTGAACCATCGTTTGAGGCTTAGTTCAGTCCAGTTCAGTGTATTTGAGCAAAATAGGTATTTGCCTCTTAAAGACATCTTTTTCTCGAACGCCAACGTGTGCATGCCGGAAACCACTCGAGACACCTCGGGAGGCGATGAGAACAC